AACCGCAATATGTTTCGTAGTACCGATGTCAGTTTACATTCGCCGTTCATCTCCTTCAAATCTTCGACTGTCGTATAGTGATCCATGGTCAACCGTTCGTTCATTACCTAGCGAGATAAGGGGGGGATGGTTTTTCGAGATTTGTGGAGGGGCCGTATTTTAGATTTTGTGTGTCGGTGTTGATGACGTGGGGGTTGTATTTGAGATTTTCAGAGGTGGTTTTAGTTGGATATTGGGAATGGTGTTGCGGTGCTGCGGAGGAGGAGGGGACAGGGGATCGGCTCTGATCGCTTTTTTTGACATTTTTGCTGAACACTCCGGCAATGGACAATATTTGAGTATTAGCCGCCTTTTTAGAAATATTTACCTTCCCCCCGCCATCACACCTGGGGGAGTCCCGATACAATCCCATTCAGTGTTTTGGTAAGGGGTCATTTGGCAGGCTCAAGAAGGTGGAAAGGTGGATCGTAGAATCTTTGAAATTTTCGCAACTTCAGGGTTGATCGTGCTGTTCTAACCAGAGATGTCAAATATGATGAAAACTTTTTGTGGTTTCATTTGCCGCCACAATGTGCCTTTGGGGGGGGGGGGGGGCAGTCTGTATGAAGGCCAATAGGACTACCCGTAAGCTAATCTGGGAGAGACTAACTCCGGAGAGAATGGGACTTGCTTACGCACCTCGGATCAGGGTCAAACGTCACGTTTGCACTTTTTCAAAATTTTGCGACCCTTCCCCTTTAGGGGATCGATGCGACCCCCCACCACCACCATCAGTCTTAGAAGGCTCCCCCAATACGATCCCCCTTCCCCTTCTCCGACCACCACCTTCACCATCATGGTTGTTTCTATAGTATTTGATTCTGAAACCAACCCTCTTTAGCGATCTTCGTCAACCTCAGTTCCTACGATAACCTTGCTCAACCTCAAAATGCAACCCCTCCCCCTTTCCCGAAATCTCGAATGACACCTCCCTACCCGCAAATGCGACCCCCTCGTTTGAACAGTGCGAACGGACGGTTGACCATATCTCGGAGTCCCTCTTCTCTTGCAACGCTTAGTCCTAAAACTGAGCGTTTCCGTGAATCCAAGGCAATGTTACAGGCTGCCCCCCAGGACCACAAGTCTATAGATTTTTTCGTTTCTGCGGACCAATTTGCATGCATGTTTGATGTGGGGAGTATATAATGAGTTGTGCAATCCTCGGAGAATCACATGGTTGGTGAGTGGTGTGCACGGGTCGCGTAAGAGCCTTGGTCCCGTGGCACGAGCTGATGCTGCTGCTGCTGCTGACGATCATCGACGAAGGAGGCGGTATCGAACTGCGTACGCCGGGCCGTCGGCCAGACTGAAGTTGCCCAGACACCGCCCACGTCGTTAAGGCCGCACGCATTGACATTTCCCCTCGGCATTCCGGAACCACCTATGTGCCGCTATTGCGTTTTTTGTTCATCGTTCCTTCCACAAAAAACCTGTTTTGGAAGGAATTCATCAAACTACAGAGTGATAGCTGAGACCTGCTCGTTCACGGGGGGACAGAATCACATCGTCATAACTGTCGGCTAGCAATTAATCGTCGATGAAACTCCCACGTCGTGCTCGAATAATCATCACTTCGTGCTTTTCCCTTCGCATGTGCGTTGTCTCATCGCTCTGTTCACTTCCGCTTTGTTTTTTCCCCTCCTCGAAGCTTTTTGTACATGTTCAGCACCTCTTTGTTCTCATCACTTAGTTCTGTGTCGAGGTTGATTCACCAGTCTGCTCCGCCAGACAGCTGCTCAGGTTACCTGTCCCCGTAAGCTTAATCTCGACAGCTGTTCAGCGACTTCCTGGCATCATGATTTGTTGGATGTCTGCCACGAGCTCGCCTACTTTTAAGCTTGACTACAGTATTCATAAGAAAACAACCGATGTGATAAAATCAGTTGCCATGGAGCTTTAGCGCGATTTGCTCGTGAGGTCATGAGATACTGTTCTGTGATTGCGGACTTTGCTATCGTGGACGGCTTCATCACGGACGTATCGGGCTTCAGTTTCATGCTGGACATAACTCTTCTTTGACTTGATTTGTGTGTTTGCCTTTGTTCGCAATGCAATGATGCCCGACTCTGGGTGCCGCCCGTGCTACGTGGGTGGAAAATGGGCGGACGCTTCCGGCGGGTGCTCTTCGCCTGCTTATTATAGAACGTTGGCCATGTTTACTCCATCGCTTTCGCTTCTATTTTGTCTGCAGAGTTCTCCTCTTCAAACATCGTTTCGCACGTGACCTGATTCCACTTTATGAATGGGAATCGCTTTAAAAGTTATTGTAATTCCGAAAGTAAAATGCTGGAACACGTGATGGCCTTATAGAGAAAGCCTTTCTTTTCTCAAATTATAGATGGGCAGTGGTCTAAATTTACTTAGGGAAGCGGTTGTAAGGTTTGCGGTGTTTCACGGTGTCCGATGATACGAAAATCATTGTTGATTATAATGTTTTCTACATATTATTTTGTTTTCCGTTCAAGTTTCCGTTCGTTACTGCTTCCGGTGTGGGTGTTGTCTGCTTGTCCACAACGATATTTTCAGATATGGTGAGCACACCATCTCCTTCCACATCTTTTCAACGGAAAGAAAGTATTAGTGGTAAGGAGCTGGAGCAACTGATGACCAAGGAGCCCCAATCTATGTGCATACTGGATTGTCGCGAAGGAGGATCTGCCATTCGGAGCGCGAATAGGTACGTCAACTATGAATTAAGCGGTGAAGGATTTTGTAAAGAGTTTCGGCTTATGCTCAGTTCTCATGCTCAGGAATATTGTTTAGAGTCCGACTTCCAAAGGTTTTATTCCGGCGTTTGGTTAACTGCTCGCTATCATTATCCACTTTATCACCACGTCTAAATGATGCTGACGTCAAAGTGGTAATTGTACCAGAACATGGTTCAGATGCTGATACTTATAATGCGCTCTCGAATGCACTTCGGAGAGCCAATATTAGTTATAGAGTTCTAGACGGTTCGTGCTTCTACTATAGAAGTCCGAGTGTTCTCAAAATCGAATTGGTTTCTTCTTCAGATCCCGTTGAAGCAGTGCTTTCGTCGTTTCCGCTATTACGAGTTGACGAAGATCGACCCAATGTTCGATCAGCTGGCGATGTAGGATGTCTTAATCTGAAGTATGTTGTATATTTTGCATAAATATTGCTGTATAATTCAGCCGAAAACTTCAGCGCTCTCCGTATTGAACCTGCTGGTGCACCACCTTCTACCGATAAGCGGCAAGTGTTCCCTGTAAAAATCCTTCCTCACCTGTTACTTGGCAACTATGAAACGGCCAGTGATGCCAAAGTTTTGGAACGGTTAGTTTTCATTGCGAAGGTTGCATTACATTTTCCCCAATGATCATGTGTAGATCATTGGTTCTACTTTACCATTCTTTTTGGATTCTTCACATGTTGATGTTCCTACCAATTTTAGAATTTTCTTGTAAACCTCTATGTTTTGTTTTAAAATGTTTTGCGCTGGAAATGTAATCGAGAAGGTTCAGTAGCGCTCGCGAGCATAGTTTTTGATGTTTATTCAACAAGATAGCAGCATAGCATGAAAATTTATCGTCTCAAATTGTACTTATAAAAGGTCGCAAGGGCAGGAATTGGGCCCATTTTTCGCAGCTGTTCTCTCTGAGTCTTTCAGTTTATGCAGCTGTGAAAATAAACTTGTAAACCTTCTACAGAAGTTCGAAACTTGAATAATAGTGTCATTACGGCGAAGTTCATTTCTTACATATTTAAAGAAGCTACAATTAGGCCTTAGGAACTAATCAGCAAGGAGGTTTATCGCGTACCGCTTTGTTCCACATTTCTCCTACGAATTTTGCTCTATGTAAAACCGTTTCACAAGTGTAATTGGCAAGAGCTGATATCATTGTGATGTCTCTGTTGGATTGGCGTTCCTCTTCCATAGTAGATGTACCATTCGTTCTTTTTTGCCATTTTTTACTTTTCACGGTTCTAGACTTTTTGCTCATATTTAGATGCTGATGACTTTATTTTGAAAAGTCTAAAAGCATGCCACAATTTGAAATTTGCCAAGGGTGATTCGGATCATAATATACAAACTTCACCCTTTGGAATTGGAGATTATTAAAGCCCACTCGCTCGCTTTGAATTTTTATTCTAATATTGCCAATTTACATATTTCGTTGAAAATAGTTATGCGTGACGGGGGTCTCGTGCACTTTTTCATCTTTTAAGCTGTAATCTTGTAGCATGGTGGAGTTGAAACGATATAGCGACCCGCTTTCATATTTTTGTCACTTTTGCTCGATTCTTCTATAACATTAATATCGCCTCGTTCGTGCACTTGCTGTTTTTTAAATTTACTTTGCATTTGTAGTCATTCTTCATGACTTTTGAAAATAGCTGGAAAAAGCTTTCTTTTTTCATTCTTCTAAGAAATTGATTGCTTTTGTGGTTGAATAAAGGAAACGTTCATCGTAGTCGTTAAACTTCCTAGTAAAACTGTCAGATTCGGAGTTTGTGGATAATATTGGCTATTTGGGTATGGCACTAAATTCAAAGGTCTGCATTGTGGACGTGACAACATATTTCTCCTTCTCATTGCTACAGTCGCCTCAGGCGAACTTTTCCTTTAATCTACCCTTGCACACGCCATTTAATTCGTGTTGGACAGAATAAGAGCATCAAGGAACAACTTTTTTCACTGAAAGTAGTTCGGGCTGGAGGGATCAATTTGTCTTCTCAATAATAAAACCCTCTTAGCCCTGAATAATTATTTTTTCAATTGACCGAGGAATCTTTGATGGTAGAGAGATCGCATTTAATTCTTGAGAGTCTCCGGAACGGGAAGAAATTGCTGGTGCTGGGCTTTGCGATAAGCGGTGACTCTTTGAGGGTGAGATACAAATCTCCAATAAACTTAAAATTCCTACGTCTCTGGTTGCCTCACGCAAGTTGAAGGCGAAGTTCATTCTAAAACTTCTCATCTCCATGAGCGACAGAGACCCATAATATATACAAGCTACAGAACATGGGCTAGCAAATTTATCTTTCAATCGGACATTGGTGAGCTTCTCGGAAACAGCACTCAATAACTTTTTTCTCTATTTTAGTCTATATTTATGAATAAATTGGTAAAAATAACTTATTAATGAAGTAAAGGGCAGTGCGCTATTTCTGAGTTTTGTCCATTCTTGTTATGAGACCTTTTGAGACATTTCATTTGATATTTACTGGTGAGCATTCGCCATTAATGACAGTGACATTGAAATCCTGCTAAAAAAAATCAAGAATGAGCCTGACCTTCTGTGCCTTTTTGCTGATCAGTGTGCATGCTACGAAACCACTCCGCTGAGGTTGTCTTCCATCTCTTACATTATATGTACCTCAAATCGTGCGCCGCTTTTTTTGCTCTTTACTTATGGTGATGCTGCTTATTGCGTTATACCTACACTCTAGTTTGGTAATATCCAGGCAAGGTCCAGAGAACAGTCAAATTCTGAGAGTTCACCCCAAATCTTCCCAAGAGCTTCAATTCAACATCTAAAACAAATCCGAAAAATAATTTGGTTCTGCAGTCACGTTTTGATTACTCCACTTTTAGGTCACTTCAAAATTACTGAAATATCTGAGAGTAACAACCGCAGTTATTTCAACATCAAGGAAAACTACATAGCTAGCTTGTATTGATGACTCCTTTCATTACAATTCAATGTGGCAACCAAAAACTTGCGCTCCAGAGTAGTCTCTCACTGTTTTTCGCAGGGCAGTAAAGTTATAAAAACGATCTGTTTGCCAATGTGAGACGTAGAATTGGCTGTCAAACAAGGAAGCGTGCAAATATTGTTGAGTAGTGGAAAGTTCAAGCTACGTAAAACTATTCAATTCCAGCAACAGTGCACATTATATTATCAATGTGACTTCCAATCTTCCGAACACGTTCGAAGACAATCCGGCCTACCATTACTTGCGAATCTCTGTTGACGATAATAGCTCCCATAATCTTTCACAGTATTTTCCTGGTGAGTTGACTTCACTGTTTGTTTCGAATGAATCTCGATAACCCATTTGCGCTTTTCAGAAGCAATTGCTTTCATAGATGCAGCAGCACGTGCTGGTGACGCATGTCTTGTGCATTGCCTCGCGGGAATTTCGCGCAGTGTCACAATTTGCCTGGCTTATCTAATGGCCAAAAACAAGTTCGTTCGTTCATCCTACTTCAATATCTTGCCTGGTGTTGGTGTTGAAGGTTTTATTTCTTTTTCTTAGATGGAGCTTGGAAGACGCGTATGACCTGGTATTGCGCAGAAATGCGAGTATCGCTCCCAATTTTCATTTTATGGGACAACTCACTGAATACGAGAGGCACTTGGGTGTACGGAATGCCAGTGTGGGGGTGAGTGCTTTTTGATTTTAACACATTTTGTTCTTTTTTTTCTTGTTTTACGAGTATTTTGTAAACATCTATGGTAGCATTTGCGCTATTCTGTAGTGATTTCCGAGAATGTGCGTAAACAGTCAAATTTGTTTGTCAAATTTGCACAATGATTGTAGGTTTATTGGGTTTATTTTCTATCCCTTATTGCGTTCTCGCTTTCCATTCGTTTACTAATTTGATTTTTTCATGTGTTCTTCCATTTCTAGACCTATCCTTCCATACCACCGCTGTCCCCATCCTGCTCTGCACAAGCTGCTGTTGCGTCGGGCCTGCTCACTCCTCCTCCCACTAGCTGTTCCACGTCTCCGCAGAGTTCTGCTCATTCGGCGAAAAGTTTCGAGTAAGCCATAGCAAACACAATCTTTTCTTCCATGACAGGCACAGTGGAATAATTCGGTGATTAGTGTGGTTTTTATTACGAGATAGAGTGTAAGTATAATTTGGAGTACCCATTACCTAATTGTTTTGTTCTATATTCTGTTATGATAGATATATTTTGCCGCTCGACGTTTACAGTATTGACGTTAGGAGTGGCGATAGCCCATTGACACGGTTCTCAGTTATCGTTTTATACCTCATGACCGAAGCCTATCATTGCTATATTTGCTGTATTCCGTTAATAACTACATTCTTCTGTTTTCTCCTATATTCTTTCATTTTATTGTGCCTGCACTTATTTTGTGTCTAATTCATTTGGGGGTTGGCACATTATTCATTGCGATATTTGATGTATTCCATTAGTTAACACATATAACAATGACTTCTCTTTCAACATCTAACGGTATTCTGTGCGCTACTATCCACGCAATGCAAGTAACTATGCCATGACGTATCACCTCTACCATGAAACCGTTGTTGCCAGATTCCTATTTGAATAAACATTTTCTAATTTTTCAGTCTCAAGCATAGTGGGGTTCGTTGAAGAATGTGGACTATTTGTATATACCTTTTGTTGCAATTTTTCATAGAACATAGACCAGTAGACATTTCAGTGGGTTTTCTCTTGTGTGTTTACTTTTTCCCCCATATTTGGCACCAGGAGGCACGTGACGAACAGACGCCGTGAAGGTCAAGTGTCAGAGCGGCGCCATTAATAGCTATATTCGGGGTGTGCACCTTTAGTCAGGATTGACCTTTCACACCTCCTCGCCGTGGTTATCTCGCACCACCCTGTAACCTGCCTCTGGGTGGACCTCGCTTAATTAGCTGAGCTGAGTGCTGACCCAACTCCGACAGACTCATTATAGAGGATATATTGATATTGGTAATAAATTCATTTATACAGTAGCGGTTGGAGGAATCGAAATGTCAAAAAAAGGATAAAAATGGGAGCTTACAAATGACTAATTTCTAGCTAACAGCACTCGCAGTGCAAGCCGTTTTCCACACAGAACAGCTACGAAAGGTGAAACTCCAGTTTGGTGGGGGACCACTCCATTGTTTCAGCATACTTTTGCTAAGTATCGTTGTAATGTGGAAGAAGTCCCAAGATGTTTTCACATTTCCGTCTGCCATGGTCCATGGAAACGGGTCCTGGAGAAGGATAATGGGACCCTGCCTAGGTCTAGGGCTGGAGGAGCCCCAGGGTGGATGACCTGGGTAGAAAAGTGGATAGCTGATGTGGGCAGGATGTGTGGAACGGAGGCATCCACCGATACTTATCAAAAGTACGCTTAAAATGGAGTCGTTTACTTATTCTATCTTATCATAGCGTTGGATAGCACAAATAGCACAAATAAATGCTCTCTAGTACTACGGATAAGTTAGCAATGGAGTGGCCCCCCCGAACTAAAGTTTCACCTTACGAAATTAAAAGTTTTGCGCAACTTTCTCCCAGGCCAAACTAATTTATGAAAGTGTGCTGCCAAAACGGCGCATCTCAAGAGGAAATAGAACGACTTTGCGTTAGGATGTCGAGATGTCACTAATACATCTGTATAATCAGAATTTTCTTTAACTATGATAAAAATTTGTATAAATTACACTTTTGGTTTGTTTCCGTGAATATAAATAAAGATAGACTTGATAATCAATACTGCGCATGAGAGCGATATGTTGGAGCGAGGTCAGCACTCAGCACACCTAATTAAGCAGGTCTACCCAGAGGCAGGTTACAGGGTGGTGCGAGATAACCACGGCGAGGAGGTGTGAAAGGTCAAGTGTCAGAGCGGCGCCATTAATAGCTATATTCGCTATTATTATTTGGGAGCAGAATTCCATCTGAGTACTTACAATCAGTGAATTTGTGTGATAAAATGATGCCATCAGTGAATCAGTTTGTGCAGTAACTGGTGGCTTTGTAAAGAAATACGATAACAGGTTCACTAAGTGGTGAAGGGCCAAAGTTTAGCTCGCGATAGCTCGGGAATTCTTCAAATACCAATTTGGTTTTGTTCTTGATGCTTGACACTGCGCCCGTCCAGGGTTCAAAAGGAGGCTCACCACACGAAATGTACAGCAAGTGGCGAGGCACAATTGACCTTGCTGCGAAATATTCCATATCCAGCCAAAGTCGTCGGTTCACGTTTGAGTACTGGCTGGAAAACCACCACACGAAAACTTCCTCAAAATTCATTTTTCTTCTCCACTCTTTTGTCTTCCTTGCTACGGGAGGAATAATTTTTCTGCATACACTGAAAAGTTCTTGAAGCCTAGAAGGCCAAGTGCTTCATTTTCGAATTCACGCTTGTCAAATGAACCGTATTCGATGCAAATACCACAACCTAATTGACAACGTTAACGTACTATCAAAACACCCCCAAGGTCGCTGCCTTTGCCTTAGTTCACCCATTCAGGTCAGAATCTATTTATTGTAGCATGTCCAAGCTAGGTCTA